CCATAAAACAAAAATACACAAACAAAAAAACAAAATAAAACCACAACAAAAAACAAATAAACAAAAAAAACCGAAAAGAAAACAAAACAAGAAAAAAACAAAAAAGCCCAAATAAAAAAAAGCAAAACGAAAAGCACATACAGAAAAAAACAAAACAAAACCAAAACAAACGAAAAAAACAAACAAAAAAAAACCAAAAAACCAATCCAAAACATCAAAAAACAAAACAAAACAAAAAACAAAAAAAGCAACAAAAAAAACAAAAGAAAAAAAACAAAAAAGAAGAAAAAAACAAAAAATCAAAAAGCAAAAATACATGCAGAAAAAAACAAACCCAAAACAAACGAAAAAAAAAGAAAAACAAAAAACCAAAACATCAAAAAAACCCCAAAAAACCCCAAAACACAACAAAACCAAACCAAAACAAAAACCAAACCCTAAAAATCCCCAAAACCCAAAATACCCATAAAACAAAAATACACACACACAAAAAAAACCACAACAAAAAACAAAACAAAAAACCCCAAAAACAAAACAAGAAAAAAACAAAAAAGCAAAACGAAAAACACATACAGAAAAAAACGAAAACCAAAACAAACGAAAAAAACCAAAAAAACCCCAAAACAAATAAAATCCAAAACATCAAAACAAAAAAAAAAAACCCCCCAAAACAAAACAAAAACAAAACAAAACAAACAAAAAACCCAAAACCAAATAAACAAACAAACAAAAAAATCCCCCACAACAAAAAACAAAACAAAAAAAAACCCCAAAAAACCAAACAAACAAAAAACCCCAAAAAGACCGAAAAACAAACAAATAAAAAAAAACCAAAAAGCCCCACAAAAAATAAAAAAAACCAAAAAAATCCCCACAACAAAAAACCAAAACAAAACAAAAAAAAGAAAACTAACCAACCAAAAAAAAAAAAACCAACCAACCAAACAAAAAAACCCAAAAAAACAAACAAAAAAAAATCACAAAAAAAAACAACAAAAAAAAACCAAACCAAAAAAACCCAAAAACCCCAAAAAAAGCAAAGAAATCTCGAATTCTGTTTCCCCTCCCGGCGCTGCCACACCCAAATTTTATTTTTGGAAAATAAAATGAGGAAAATCGGGAAAATTCATTTCACAACGAAACCGAAGGTGGGAATAAATCAGGAAAGCGGGGTGGGTTTAAAAAATTAAAAAGAAGAATTTTTGAGGCTAAATAAGGAAAACTGGGAGGGGGATTTTAAGGGTTTAAAAAATAAGGCAATCACACTCCAAAAGGTGAGAATCAATTAATAAAATGATCTCATTAAAAACAAAGGCAATAAGAAAAATATAAGTAATAATTATTAAAAAAAGGAAAAAAAAAAAAAATCTGCGAGGGACCAGGATATTATTTATTGGGTAAGTTGAGTATCAGGAAATAAGAATATTGTTTT